AAAAAAAAAAAATCATTTCTTCTCGTGAGCTGCCCAACCCCCCCAACCAAAACATGCTTTTTTTTCATTTTTTCTTGTGTGGGCGGGTGGAGCAGGGGTTGCGCCGCCGAATGGCGGTTCCCGAATCCCGAGACCCCCTCCCCTCTGGATGTCACGTGGCGCCAAAGCCGCTCGTCGTATTCATAGCGGGTGGGCAAAAGCGGCTGAGACGGAACACCATCACGGCGTCGTATTCTTCGCAATGGCAGATGAAGTTCAAGAAGAAGTTTCTGAGGTTTGTCTACAGTCAGTGTTTGCCGGTCAATATCTTTCGGAGCGAGCCATGGAAAAAATTGGTAAAACACTTCAGGGACTTCTCGGGGCCAATGAAGGTTTTGTGGCCCTGTTTTTGGCCCGGCCGGGCAAGTGGACCCGGCCACGTTGGTAGCCTAGTATATAACATTATTTTATCAAAAAATAATTTTTCGCAGCAAAGCGAAACCCATATAACTATGACGAAAAATACTAATGAGCTAAGGTATATATAGATACGATTATGAATCTATAATCGTCAAACTTGAACTGGTAAGACCGTCTCAGTTGAAGTACTATAAGGATGACAATCGCTATGTTAACGGATGATCTTAGAATTACTAACAAAAAGACCATCACTTATAGAAGTGAAAAACGGACGGCTCTGTGATTTAATTAAATATCATTTATTTGTTGCAATGTTACTACGACGATCAGGCTAAGAATATTTCTAAAAAACGGACCACTGATTTTGTAATCATAATCATGAAATCTGTCATCGGTCATAGTTATTGTTCGTATCCCGAATTGTGTTACATTTCTACGCATCCAAGTTTGTTAGATATATTTGGAAGATAACTTATCGATGCATGAGCGAAATGCGATTTTTTTTCTTACATAAGATCTTTAGGGATTGTAAAGAGACTATGTGGATATTAACAATGTTATTGTGCTAGATGGTCCAAATAAATACGAGTATACGATGATAGTAGTCAAAATATTTTTATAAATCATTAAAAGTTTACCTTTTTATGATCTATGAGGCATCCAAGATATGGGATAAATTTAAGTAGATAATAGAGAATCAAATATGAAATCTTATAGATTTTAAGTCAGATAAAACATCTTCATGTATTTTAGTATAATAATATAAACGAAGATACTAACCATATGATCAAAATGACACTCCTCGAAAATATTAAACATGCGATTTAAGTTCCAAACCCAAAACTGTATAACATGTTTTAGTTATTTGAGCCATACAGTGTGAATTTATCAACTTTACATCATTTCAACTATGGATTAATAGCTAGGTTACCAGTCATCCGATGGCTGGACGTCTCGGCAGGACATCTCCCCCAACGGTCCGGTAGGGGGATTGTCCGGGATCCCGGACAACCACTTTTTGGCATTAAAAAAAAAAAAAAAAAATGATAGTGTTGCGCATGCCATAGAGACCGCCCATTAAAAAATTCAGAATTTTTTTAGCATTTGGTGATACGGTGCTATTTGGGGTGGGAGGGGGGGGTACGAGGGGTTTTGGTGGGGATAGGAGGCTAAGGAGGGGTATAGGTGGGGAGTAGAAACTTTGAAGATTTTTATCGTTTTTTCTACTGGCTCAAATGAGCCAAAATTTTGGTGGCATACACCTTATGCAAGCTAGAAGCCACATGAATTTTTAAAAAAAAAAAAAAAATGGTTTTTTTTTTTTTTTTTTTTTTTTTTTTTTGCGTTAGGTCGGATAACCCTTGTCCGCTCCGAGACCGTCCGACGTTCGACCAGACGTCCGGTCGGACAACCCAGGGGTCCCGGACGTCCAGTAAGACAACCTAGATTAAAAGTAATTTAATACCATATGTATGAAAGTATCAGAATTACTAGATTGCAGTCGTCTTTTTCGTAATGTATGTAATGGTTTTGTAAAAAATAAATAAAAAATTTGAATTGTGTTGATGGCATCTTAGTTCGAACTTAGGGTGAACCATTCAGGTCGAATGGAACAGAGGGCTCGAGTTTGTGGGTGTATCAACTAAGAGGATACTTGCATTATGACTTTTTTTGCTAAACTCTTGACGTGATTGCAGTCAGATTGATCCACGTCTGGTCGTAATTGAAGTCAGATACATTTGGAGAAGTAATAGTGCAAGTATATCATGATCTATATCTGTAAGCTCTTTCGCTTGTTTCAGGACAACCTGCAGTTAAGACAACCTGCATTTATCTGCCCTGCTTAGCTGGTAGGAAGCTTTTTTTTTTTTTTTTTTTTTCCTTTTCTTTTTTTTTCAAATGGGTCATTGTCCTTGAGGAATCATCATTGGATTTTCCTAGCCAAAGGCCAGAAAATGCAAGAATTAATCTTACGGGAGGTGGATTTTAACTTCAGTTTGCGTTTCAATAGTTTTCTGGTTTATCATGATGGGCCTACAATTCGAGGTCAATCCAAATGCGATCTTTTTAATTTCTTGATTGTTAATTATCGTCATCCACGACTCTTGCCGGATTCATGTAGCTGATTTGTAGTGCTTCAAAAGACTTCGTTTCACTCCTCCTTTAACATGCAAAATGAGACTAAACACTATTGTAAAACATGGATAGATACAATGTTGAAATAAATATCAGCCATCAGCATTTTTTTACCAATATTTATAATATATCTAATTGACATTTATCTAGGGCCTCATTGTGTCACTCATCAGTTGTGAACGAGACAAAAGTATCAACAATTGGATGGTTGTATGAATTAGCCGCTATGAGCAGCGCAATCACCTTGTCTTAAGGTTATTGACCTGCACATTCACTCTCCACTTCATGCAAAATGAGACATAATATTTCGTCACAGTATGCAAAAACAGGTTACCATTACCTTTCCCCTCATTGTTTTTTTAAAGATACATTGTCATTGTCTTTCGTTCATTTTAACTAACCGCACAGGAGAATTCAAAACATGGTGGTGAGTCGGCGACACGTCACCGAATCATACATACTGCCATGTAGGTTTCGATGTTATCGTTTCGTTTTGGTGAAGTTTTTTCATAGGTGTCATCATTTTCCTTCGACGAGGCTGTTTCATAGGCTCATAATTATCATACCGGTCGGTTGTAGGCATTTTCTTTTACTCTTTGTCATGGCCAACTGCATTAGACTAGACTTATTGACACTTTAACATTTTGTGCACCGTTGGGGGGTAAGTACCCTATTTTTTCTTTTGTTTCAGGTAGGTCAGAGAAAAAACTTGATTACAATCATTGTCACGCCGACAGTTTGCACAAGGCAGACAGTTACACGAGTCTTATTGCTACTCTAACATTTTTCATATTGCTAAGGGGTGGGCATTTTCTTTTTTCTTTTATTCTTGCCAAGCGTACCAGACTGGACTTGTTGCAATTTTGACATTTTGCACACCGTTGGATGGTAAGCATAGAATCGCACATTTTGGCGTCCGCCATTTACATTCCTTCATATCCTTGTGATCAAATTCAAGCGCACTATCATAAGCTAGAGATACTAAGGCCCGCTCGATTTGTCTGTCTTCCAGTTTCTGCTTTGCATTTAGTCAAGTCGTAGCTATTGAAATTTATGAAACCAATTGTTTTGTTTGACTAAGACTCGTTGCGATTGTGACATTCTTATATTTCCTATACTAAGACCTTGAGCATTTACCATCTTCATCCTTCCACATCCCTATGTCATCACACACTTAGCATAAGAAGACATTTATTAGCAGTCAAGTCTTATCGACATTTAATACACATGTCGACAATTTGCACAAGCAGGGCTTTCGGCCATTCAGCATATACCCAACATGTTTAACTTATTAGATTAAACTTATTGCTGCAATAACTTTGGTACTTTGTATAGAGTTGGAAGTATCTTGTTTTCCTTTTGTCCCTGGTAAGCGTAACGGTATTTAGCATGTAATAAAACCCGGTACTATATCATTTTTTTATGCAAACACTTAGCACAACAAAACATGTATTATTTGATATATATGTTGGCAGTTTGCACAAAGGGGACTTTTGGCCATTTACACACGTTGCCCAATACTCTATATTCTATAGGAGGGTAAGCATCTCTTTGTCTTCTCTTTACCTGTTTTTTTTGTTTGTGTGTGTGTCTGACCGCT